GGGGCAAAATATGAGTCATTTTTCAGTTGATTTAGGACCTAGAATTCAAATTTTTTTTTTTTTGCAAATCAGAAAAAATCGAAGAGGCGAATCCGAGAACCAACAAATTAAATTGGTGTGGCCTAACAGTACAAACAAGATTATAGTCGAGCTGCATATACTTGTACCATTGTTAATGTACATTGTGTACAATGAAGATGAAATCTTGCCATTAACTTTAAGGCCACACCTATTTGATTGGTTGGTTCTCGGATTTTTTTTTTTCAGAAAAAAATGTGAAGCAACAAGGCACAAAAAAAAACAGGCTTATAACTTATATAAGTGCACATCCTCTGAATCTGATATCCCCTTATGTATCTGTGTTGTACATATGTATCTCGATAGAACTGAAGGCTTAGTCAATTCACTTCAATTTTGGATGTAGAGGTTTTAAAGTGCATGTAAATTTCTGCCAACATGCTGGAAAAATACATGTATTTCGAGCCCTGCCCTGTAGAGTACACTCAATGAAATCAGTGACTGCATGGACACAGTATCATGTATCAGACTGCCACAGTCTGAAGAATTCATAATACATTTTGTATCTAGGAGGGGTCAATAACCTTTTTGTAGAGCAACCACAGTTATTATTATAATAGCAGAGAAGTCAAACAGTAATAAAATAGTATCAAATTGACAGTCAAGACAGTATCAAATAGGCAAGGCAGTATCCAGTTGCCACCTGTACATGTTTGGCTGGGAAAAAAAGAAAGATACCAGTAAGAAAAAGAAAGCCTGATAAAAATGCCTAAAAACATGAAATATTATATTAGGCCACACCAAGTAAATTTTATGGATGACGTCCTTTGGAGACCCTAAATCTAATGCGAGAGGGCGAAAAAAAAACAAGAAGGGCCCTAAAAAACAAGATGCCTAGATTAGAAATATACTAGGAGACAACAAATGTTAGGACACAAATTTAATGAGGTGACACAGTGTAACAAGCAAGAAGTCTTTTATTCATCATCAAAACAGGTGGAACAGCAGTTGTCGTCCTGTCCTGTTTTCGCGTTACGGGTTTCACGTCAATCT